CTTATTATCGTGTAGCCCATTCTGAAGTCATTTCAGTCACGATAAGATGCCGAATTTTTAACGAGCTTCGTTCTGACCGCTAACAAAAAGTATGTACTGCAGAATTAGCTTCTTAAGTAGTGTGCATTTTAATCCTTGAATATGACTGAGCTTATCAATTCAAATATATTTTATGGAAAACATAAACGAAAAAATTATTTCTTGTACTCGTCTGTAGCAAATTACGCCTTTTTAAGTTTTATACTTAAAGAAAAGGGTATCCTTCGCTTTTAAAAATGTTTCTGATTATAAGCTTTTTTAGGATGGGAAGGTGCTCATTCATTATACATCACATCTGTCAATGTATAGTGTAAACAGCATGTTCCAAATCTGTTGCAATCTTTTATGAGGACTGAGTGACTTCTTCCCCAAACCGTAGGCGAAAACGTACGTACTGACCGTTAGAGTACACTCAAAAAATTCGCATCTGAACTTTGATTAAATGCAACAACAAAATTTTGCAACCATTTCCACTATATGGTGAAGTATTTACCGGTCATTTAGTCGTGAATCGGAGGCATTTTATGTAATATGTTACTTCTTTTTTATTGATCGCAACTCTTTATTAATGAATGTTTCCCGGATCTTTATTTGCTACTCAATTTGAATGTTTAATTTGATGTTTCCTGTAAGGTTATAGAATCTTATTTGTACTGTTGACGAATTTGAGTGATATGTATTTCGGTCAATGTAGGTCCTGACTTGATATTTATGTTATTTTAAAAAGTGGATAGTTTTTAATGGGTATATTGGTCCTCCAGACCCAGATGATTCAGCATGCAGATGCTGTTGTGGGTTCTCACCAACAAGAAGAACATAAAGGGGCGCCGTTGGGTCACGTTGAAACAAATAAATATGATCCCGACAATCTGGATACACCTTATGCAGGACAAGCGCGCACAAGGAGAGACGTTCAGAGGCACTCAGTAATATATATTACTATATATAGTACACTATAGTATATAAACACTTTTTATGCTATAGTTTGCCAATCGGGTCGCCACTGCCAAAAAAGGGAGGCCTCGGACCCACCTCGCTAGCGCGAGTGCTCCCTACACTGATAATGCACATTATGTGCGCGACTTGGCGTCATTGATTTATCCCCAGAACCATACTTATGTGTCGATAGAAACAAATATGGAAGTTGCAGGAAGCATTTCGGAAGTAGAAGCTGCGATCGCTTGGACGGGTAGTTGATTTGCCCGAGGTTTCGGATTTGGTCGAGAACTCTTACTCATAGGTGACTGTAGAATAGGGTGCTACATACAGATATTTGGGTGATATATGCACAGATCACGTAGTGGCCGAATAATTTTTAAATCTATGGACTGCTACACTTAAATTCAGGGTTTACAAACTGCGCGCTGTGTACATTCTGTTTAAGGAAAAGTAAGTTTTTGTCCACGGTTTGAGGAAGAAGTCACTCAGTTCTCATAAAAGATTGCAACAGATGTGGAACATGCTGCATACACTATACATTGACGGATGTGGTATATACTGAATGAACACCATCCCATCCTAAAAAAGCTCTTAATCAGAAACATTTTTTAAAAGCGAAAGATACCCTTTTCTTTAAGTTTGAAACTTAAAAAGGCGTAATTTGCGACAAACGAGTACAAGAAATAATGTTTTTGTCTATGTTTTCCACAAAATATATGGCTAGCGAATCTGATGCTGTGTTGTCAGAAGACGCTGACACAAGCCCTAGCACTTCCGTGGCCGACAGCGACGCCAGGTGGCGATCGCATTTCGCCCCCACCCACTAGTGTCAGTCGTTCACCCAACACGCCGCTCTTGCCTTCTTACGCAGACTGACAGTCCGCAGTGGCCAATCGGCGCCCAAGTCAGACAGTTATTGATTTTTCTACAGGTTCAAGTTTTAATTGTTTCGTACAGCTTTCATTATACCTGCAAATGTTTGGCCTGATAAAGAGTTGATGAAAATATATGCTTGTCAGAAATATATTTGAATTGATAATGTCAGTCAAACTCAATGGTCAAAATGCATACTATTTAAGTAGTCATTTTTTAGAGTGCACAGGTTTTTTTAGCGGTCAGAAGGAAGCTCGTTAAAAAGCCGGCATCCTATCGTGACTGAAATGACTTCATAATGGCCTACACGATAATCATTATCAAGAGTATCAATATTTCGCATATGTCAGCATGTCAAACGAATTCTAGGCCGTACTTTATTGGAGGATGCGAATTTAGTTTATTTAATTACCGAGAACAAGAAGACTCGATCGTTGGGAAAATACGTTTATTCGCCTGACGTTTCGACATCCGTCGCTGATTCATCATCAGAGAGATAAAACAGTAGCAGAAACGGCTACATTTAATTACTGTCAGCTACAGAGCGCTCTTTGCTGAGAGGGCGGGGGAGGTTAGCTTGAACCTGCTAAATGATGGTAAACATGTCATAATGGGGAACTATCGGACGCTTTTCGATTTCCAGGTTTTTCATTCGAGATTGAAAGCTCCTGAAAAAAGCCTTATTCGTGCATGTTGTTCAATAAATTGACCTTAATAGTAGCCGGGAATTGTTTAAACATATTCATTTTATCATTGCCGGAAAGGGAAGAAGAAGGGACGATTTCTGGGACCGAGGTGTATTTTGGCTGACGCTTCAAAAGCGTGCGCGCTTCCATCGTCAGAGCCTGGTGTCTGTACTTCTGTTCGTTTGTGTTTTCCATAAAATAAATGGCTAGCAGAAGAGCCACACATTCGCCTTTGAAAAAAACAAGGGTACTAGGCCGAGCCAACGACAAGATGGCCGGATTGCTGCTAGAAAGTTGGTCCTCGACTGGCACACTAAACAGAGTCATGGACCTTCGTCCCGCCTACCAAGCGCTCCGCAGAAGGCTAACATCTGTTCAGAACGGAGCAATAGGTCGGATGGAGAGAGATAAGCGGGGCGAACAGCCGGCAGCCGCGAGAAAAGAGGGTGTAAACACTCACGAGACACAAAAACGACTGGACACAGCTCATGAAGACGCCCATGAGGGCACGAGCAATTCAAGCAGCCACATAAATCGATCGGTGCAATCGACTGACAAATGGGCATTAGGCAGGGTTACTGGTCGGACACATTCATCTGACGCGAACAGAAGTACAGACATCACGCTCTGACGATGGAAGCGAGCACGCTTTTGAAACGTCAGCCAAAGTACACCTTGGTCTCAGAAATAGTCTCTTCTTCTTCTTCCTCTTCCGGGATGATGAAAGGAATATTTTATCTTGACCTAGAATTTTTTCGCATGTTTAAACATATCCTCGCTGAGAACAGAAAGCTTTGGTTTGCCTTCAAGAAAATCAAGAAACTGTAGGTATAGGAAATACCACTGTTTGTGGGAAAATAGAGGATGTTGCCATGAAGTTTCTCGAAGAAGAAATCTTTATTTGACCATGCCCAACACGGGTCTTGGTGAAACCATTTCCATCTAACCGATGGACCAGTGGTCGAATTCATTAGCTGAGAATACTAGCATCGATACTGCCTATATGGACTTCAAAAAAGTCTTCGATTGTTCCCACACTAAGGGCTTCTTTACAAGGTCCGAACATCCGGGATAAACGGGAATCTTTTGAACTGGATGGGAGATTTCCTAATAGGCTGATCATAGTCTGGTTGCATTGGCAATGCAATTTATTTTTTAGTGCGGATGGTCACTGATGTACCTCAGGGCTCCGTTATTCGGTCACTTCTCTTCCTACTCTACTGCAAAGACTTTAGGCATGGAAAAGAAATCCACGGAGTACTGTATGCAGATGACATAAAGAGATGACAACCGACCAGTAGCAATGCTGCTGCTGTGGCTTTTCATTCTCCTCAGAAATTACTCGGCAACTTAGAGCACAACGGACGGCGAAAGAAAAGGCGACAATCGCACTGAAGACCATTGTCAGTCCTCAGGCAAACTTACAGAAGGGGTTGAATTTTCTCCTTTCGACGGTTTTGAAGCACGACTTCCCGCACACGTATATGCAGTAAAAGGGCCATAGGAACATTAAGGTCGTCGGAAGAGGTGGAGCGTTCGCAAAAGTCTTAACCAGACCAAGTTGCTGCATAGCCCACATTTGTTTCGATTCGCT